TCTGAGGTTCTGTAAATCTTACAAAACGACATGAGGATGAGTAATTAATGACAGAACTTTCATTTTTGGGTGAACTATCCCTTTAAGGAAACTGTATGGAAGGTTTTTTTTTTTAACCTTGTAATATCAGCTTCAAAATCATTCTGATGGTACACTGCCTGACTTTGTTCTGGAATTATGCAAGTTTGTTGAGCAGTATGAAATTCTGCAAAAATATTATTTTACTGCATGTACCTTTTAAATACTAATATATACACTTGAGTTAATAATACTTTAAGGTAGTAATATGCACCCTTTAGGGGTGAATAAGGTACAAAATTGTACCTTTTGAAAAGGTACCACCCCATTTTGTACCTTTTTTCTTTGAGAGTATAGGGGGCTCCAAAGTTACAAAAATATGCAAAACTACATACATATGCTTTAAAGGAATGGTTCAGCCAAAAATGAAAATTGTGTCGTCACGTACTCACCCTCAAGTTGTTCCAAACCTGTATGAGTTTCTTTCTTCTGTTAAGCCCAAAAGAAGGTATTTTGAAGAATGCTGGTAACCCAACAGTTGATGGTAGCCATTGACCTCAATAGCATGGAAAAATGTCAATTGTTTGTTTACCAACATTCTTCAAAATACCTTCTTTCATGTCCAACAGAAGAAAGAAACTCGTACACATTTGGAACAAGTGGAGGGTAAGTAAATGATGATAATTTTCACTTTTATTCCAATTATCCCTTAACGTTCTGTTTATTCTGTTTATAATAAGCATGTGGTGCAGTTTTGTCTTCTGGTGCTTTAAATGCTTAATGCTCTTTAAAGCAAGATAGATTTTGATTGGCCAATATGCCTGATTGCCTGATTGTCAATATGTTTATCATTCATTAGCTGGAAAAATTGTTCTAAAAGTGTTTCCAACATTATTGTTTTTATGTTGTTATCCTTATAGTTGTGATATGGACGTCCCTATTCTTTTAAAATTATCATTACAGTTTTCACCCTTGGTGTGAATAGACATTTAAGGTGGGAGAGAGAAAGAAAGCTGACAAATGAACAGTCAAACTGACCCAATCAGACAGATTGATGAACAGAGAACGAGACAGGGACCAGGTGAGCCGATGTCACAGAATCGGCTTTTTGTAATTTCCAGAGATCCGCCCCGGATGCGTTTGATTTCCGAGCCTTTGTAATGCCACAGCCTCAGTTACTGAACAGTTAGAAGTGGGATAACTAGCCCAATGAGACCAGTGCTTGCAGGAATCCACATGCTGACTGTTGCCATTTCCTGCTCGATTCCTTTCAATTAGATGCCTCTGCCCTGATCCTGTGCTAATATGCAAAGTCTTTTAGCTGCCAGCCGCTGACTGATATCTCAGAGTCATATGCGTGCACATACACAGCGTATGAGAGGTATATATTCTCTGTACCGCTGAGACTTGTAACATTTTTTTAAGAGCTGAACATCTTTTGCTGTATCTGAATGGCTCTCGAGGGCTGCTTTGGTGCTGATAGCTGCCATTCTTTGCTGGTGTGTAGGGGAGAGTCCTACAGCTCAGTGCTGCAAACAAACTTTGAGTGTTGGGACTGGGATAAGACAGTAATATGTGAAGTGTGTGCTGCTTACAAACTGCTGAGAGGTTGTTGTGTCCTATAGGAATAGTTCTGAAAATTGAAAAATTCTGTCATTTGTTTACTCACCCTCATGTCGTTCCAAAACTGTATGTTATTTTTTTGATGAATGAATCTTCATATTTGTCCATGCAATGACAGTTCACTGACTGTCAATGTTTCGAAATGAAATAAAAGCACTCTAAATACATTTTTTTAAGCAGATGCACATATGACCTTTCCGCTGGTTTGATGTTTTGGCTTAGATATCTGATGTTATGACCTCATTATGTTTGTTTATGAGACAATTAGACTTAAATTTTTGTCTACTTTTATGGTGCTTTTGTATTGCTTTTTAGCCATTTCGGAGCTTGACAAACCCTGGTCACTGTGATCTGTCATATGAAAAGATCTCTCTGAAGACTCAGATAATTCTTCTTGTGTGGTTTATGGAAATAATAACAGCATACAGGAATGGAATGACGTGAGGGTAAGTAAATAATGACAGAATTTTTCATTTTTGGGTGAAATATGAAACTGAACTGATGCATTGTATCACATCTCTTCTTTTATTGCTGTCTCCTTATGATGAATTGCTTGTGTTATAGCATTTCTCATTTGTGTTTTGCTTTGGATAAAATTACAAATTAGTTTTACATCAACTTTTCTCTGACCCATGAAGCACTCTGAACTGCATTTTGTGTTTAAAGGGGTGGTTCACTGTTTTTTTTCTAGGCTTGATTGTGTTTATGGGGTGCAGTCTAACATGTGTTAATGCTTCGTTTTTAAAAAAACACATTATTTTTCACATAATTTGAACTTTCAGCTTCGTAACTTTGCAGATATTGTTTATGCTCAAACAGCAACATTACACACTAACTAACGTTAAAAAAGTGAAATCGTAATCAACCACCCCTTTACGATGAATAAGAAAATGTATTATTGTAATTATTCTCCTCTTTCTCCTTCTCTTTCTCCTTCTCCTTTTCCTTCTTCTTCATTTCTACTACTAATAGTAGCACTATTAAAATAAAAAGATTAAATATTAAATTAAATAGTATTAATTAATATTAATTAGTGCTGTCAATCAATTTAAAAAATAACCAATTTATCACGCATTTTTTTCTGAAATGAATCGCGATTAATCCGACATTTTTCACATAATTTACCTTTATTCCACACCGCTCTGTCCCTTCTCTGAGAAACTGGGTGATCATTTCCTGCTTTTATGAAGCCCCGCCCTCAGAAATGGGCGATGGGCTCTGATTGGTTAGTGTGTGTTGTGTGTTGTGATTGGCTAAACCGCATCTAGTGCGTGTCTAACCGTCCCGCCCCTCACCTCAGGCATGTGCTCCAGTTGTATTGTAAACAACGGCGTCATAGTATTAATTAATATTAATTAGTGCTGTCAATCAATTTAAAAAATAACCAATTTATCACGCATTTTTTTCTGAAATGAATCGCGATTAATCCGACATAACATTACATTTTTTAAATATACTTTTATATTGCAATAATTTCACATTCAATCTTCAAATTAATGTATAAACAACATAAAGACAGTATATTTTTCGATATTTGTTAAATATTTTTTTATGACTGAAGGTGAGTATCACTGATACCAATACTAGTGATGTCTCTAGGGAATTGTTTTTTCCTAATATTTACCCATTGACTATAGCCAATCAACATTTCAGTAAAATTGAGAGCCATCGATTTTAACATTTAATAGACTTAAAAAAAAAAAACTTCTAATTTAACAGGGCTCGAAATTTACTTTTTTAATTGGTAGCACTGGTGCTCCCAACTATAAAAAGGTATAGTTGGGAGCACACAGTCACACCAATCTCGAGGTCACACAGATGAAATTATGGGAGCATATGCGACCAAATATCGAGCCTTGTTTAAGTAAACTTAAATCAATCTTCACATAAACCCATTATAATAAATGTCATATTTACCTGTGCAATTCATCAAGTAAGAAATATACAGAAATTGAATAAAGTTATCAAACACTAAATTCTAAATTAAATATAGATGAATCCTTAAAGCTACAAAAGTTATTGGTTTTCTTTTTTTTTCTTTTGTTCTTTGACTAACAGACATCATAGCAGCTGGGTTATTAGGTTATTTGGCTGCTATGACTTTAAGAGCTGCCGCTGCTGAACGTGATGCGGATCTGACATGCATGCTTGTAGTTTTATTCGCGCTTTAATATTAAATGATACGGGCTACAGCACGCGCCGTTTTTGTGCATGCAATTGAAGAGCACCCACTACAACAGCTGACAGGACAGAAAAATTAGTTTTACTGACATATGGCCTGACAACATCTCATCTGAACACAGTTCACTGTTGTTCTATACTGAAGCTCATTGGACACCTGGAGCTGAGGTGAAGTCTCCTGTTGATGTAGTCGTAAAGACGTTAAATAAGCGCAATTCTTGTCAAGAATAAAAGAGACATAAGCAGCAGTTGTGAGTGGGGTGGCCAACCCTAGCTCTGCCCTTACGTTAACGACATAAAATATTTTTAACGCCTTTAAACTGGAAAAATTAATCGCCTGCGTTAACGTGCTAATTTTGACAGCACTAATATTAATACATGTAGATTATACTTTGTATAAGAACTTGTTTATATTAATATTATGATTATTAAGCTTTTATACAAAGTATAATCTACATGTCATTAATCATAGTAATAGTTTTATTATTATTAATAATAATAAATGGAAATAATACTTGATTGTAAATAATACTTGTAAATAAAAGCATGCTTTTTGTTTTGGTTTATTTTCTGTTAAGTACTCTGATTCATACAGTTCTGCAGGTCTTTGTCTTCTGTATATGGATTATGAGCTCAGTTATACTGTCATAGCCTATCTTGACACATTTTACCCCTTCTCTCTTTTTTCTCAGGCTCGTAACCTTTTTCTCTGTGGCCCGTCACTTAGCTAAAAGTCTGTCTTTTTTTTCTGAAAAGAAAAACCCACTCATTCCCAAGTGAATAAAAAGGGCACAGGACTGTTTCTAGAGAGCCCTCAGCTATAAGCTCACAGAGGAACATAGAGGAGATCGTCTTTCATTTTTCACTATCCTTCCTCACTTTACAGGCTTAACCTGAGAAAAGAAAGCCATTCCTGTCTGTAATCCAGCCTCAATGACTCTATTAGAATAGACCATTTTAAATAGCTAAAACTGCTGAAAAGACCTTTGACTTCCATGTATTATTGATTTATGAATTGGATTCATAATGAGAAGTAGTCATATTTATACAGCTTTTGTCACGGTCATTATAAGCACAGCCTATTAAATTGATATCTCCATTTATTGGCCACATTTCTGCTACTGCAAAGACACGAATGACCTCTGACCCTCGACCATGTACTGTCTGTGTGGTCTTAGGTAGGATGGTGGGAGAATGGGGTGTTACGTCTGAGGTACCCTGCTTGGTCTCGATATGGTCCCTTCCTGCAGCCGCCCGATGATGCTCAGCACCTGAGGGTCGTGACCCTGGAGGAGCGGCCCTTCGTTATCGTGGAGCTTGCAGACCCTGCCTCTGGAAGCTGCATTAGAGACTCTGTGCCATGCAGACGGCCTCTCAATGCCAGGTTAGTACTGATCTGACCGCCTCGTCGGCCATTTATCATGGCTCTTCTTTATGGGGGAAAAGGAACATTGTTGTAAAATTGTTCCAGTGGGTCCCAAGAAACCAAAGTTAAATTACAAAGTTGTATGTTTCAGTGGACAGGTTAGGAACTAGATTTTCTTCCCTTCACGGGTCTATGACCTTTCAGTGAGACAGGCTTTGCAGTGTCATTCCACATTTTGCCAAATCTTCTGTCTAGTCTTGTCAAAAGTATCGACCGCGATACCATTCGGTACTGAAATTTTAAAAATGTCCATTTCCCGCTAAGATTTGAGCGCTGTTGAGCAGATTCTTAAACAGCGCTGATTGATCATTGTGTTCACACGCTCAACAGATACGTCTGTGATTGGCTTCAATGCTCTTCACCGAGCGCTCACACAGAAACACACGAGAGCGTTTGAAAGCCGCGTCTATCAGCGGATCCGTCTATGTGCAGATATATTAGGGATCCGCTGACGGTGACGGATCCATTTTTAAAATTTCAGTACTGAATGGTATCGCGGTCGGTACTTTTGACAACACTACTTCTGTCAGAGATCAAATGCAGGTGTTAGAGGAGAAATGCAGTTATGCATCTATTACAGCCAAATTTATATTAGTAATGCACACCCTCAGATGCCAATACTATAATCTTTATATTCACTTCTTTAGCTTGTTAATTGTTTGGACAAAAGAGTAGTTTTAATGTCATAAATGTTTTACATTTGGTGCCGAATTGTAATCATTTCAAATTTAATTTGATATTGTATTCTACAGAGTGTATTGCTAGCATTATTTATTTTATTTTTATTACTGGCAGCACATTTATTTTATTTTATTTTATCACAACCTAATTACTATAATTATTAAACCAACATTTTGACCATCAACCCTTTTAAGATATTAAAAGATATTATGACTTATCAATTTATTTTGATATTGTATTCTGCAGAGTGTATTGCTAGCATTATTTGTATTATTTATTTTATTTGTATTACTGGCAGCTTATTTTATTTTATATTATTTTATTTTATTTACTAACAACTTAAATGCTATAATTATTAAACCAACATTTTGACCATCAACCTTTATTAAAAGCTATTATCACTTAAGAAGGCTGATGGCAAAACATTGTTTAATAATAAAGAATAAAAGTCTTCATAACTTGCACTTCAATATTTAGGTGTGCATTTACATTTTATTTGTTAATTGAAAAGCAATATATGGCATACCAATGAAGTAATTACAGTAGAAATCGTAATTTGAGGTTGTAAGCATGGCCTATTTTTTCTTGCTCCAAAGAGTTCCATTCGGAAGCTGTGGTCATCTTTCTCTGGTCATTTGTCACATTCTTTCAATTTAGTCTTTATCTCTGTGTATCTCACTTTTTTTCCCCCCCAACATATCACTATGAAGTTCCAGGGGCTATACTCACCTGCCTTCGCTTTGCAATCGATCACTCGTTTCCTCTCTCTCTTTCTCTCGCTTCCCCTCTCATTTTGACTTTGCCTTGTGGCGATCTCTGTTTATACTTAGTCATCATGTTGCTTGTCAGTCTGCTTGAGCTCTTGCCGTGTACACGTGTCTCTGCGGATGCTGCTTCACTGCTCCCACACCAGACATATGGATGCCCGTTTTTCGTCTAATTATATCATTTTTAGTTATATCACAGAAAATGTACCAAGACAGTATACTTCTGAAAACCTTGCCCTTCCCATTCTTCTGTCTTTTTTTATTTCACATTCCCTCTGTAACTCTCAGTCCTTTTGGTAACACTATTTCTCTTGTTTTCTCTCTTCAGGGGTATACTGTGTATGTGTGTGTGTGTGTGTGTGTGTGTGTGTGTGCACAACACTCATATTTTAAAATAAATATAGTAAAATATTATTACAAATTTAAATAAAAATGTTCTGTTTTAATTATTATATTATATTATTGATTTTTGATTGTTATTATATGATTGATTTTATTGACACATGCAATACACATAACTAAGCACTTTCTCTCTGATTACAGTGCACTTCAGGAAGGGGTGGCACCCATGAAACAGTGCTGCAAGGGATTCTGCATCGACATCCTTAAGCGATTGGCCAAAATTGTCGGCTTCACCTATGACCTCTACTTGGTGACCAATGGGAAACATGGGAAAAAGATTGATGGAGTTTGGAACGGGATGGTGGGAGAGGTGAGGGAAGCTTTTTGTGTCTTTCACCTACTTTATACCGGCCGAGCTTGTTGTATTCCCATCAGCGCCTCTCCTTATTCACTGCGCTGATGAGCAAGTGCCCTGGATGCACTGTCAGCAATATCACTGAGAAGACTTCACTTGCATATGTAAATACAGGCATTAGGTGGAGAGAGGACTGCAGATTAAAGGCAAGGCTGCTATTCCCTTTAGTATCAGTAGTCATGATGATCAAACACTGTGATTATGGGATAGTTAAGGTCATGGTGCAGTGTTTTTGAAGAAGTTGCAGTAAGGAATCAATGTGAGCTTATAACATATGTCCATGTTCTATTGAAGGAAGTGGATGTGTGACACTATGTGGTTGCCAGAGTGTCTTATCCAGGAGTTTCAACACTAAGGCATGGGTTTGCAAACCTTTTCATGCCAAGGACCTTCAAAAATGTTGATTCCCTTGAGAGGGACCCCTTTCCTAAAATGTAAAAGCAGCTATACTGTATTTTCATGCATAAAGACCCATTTGGAGGAAAATAGTAAGTGTTATATTATCAAAGATTAAAATAAGATAAAAATAGGTAAAATAGATAAAAATATTAAAATATCTGGAAAAATATTTATAAGCAATAATTACATTTATTTTAATTATGTTTAAAAATGAAAGTAATTAAAAATAAATTTGTGTATCTTTTTTTCTACCAGTGCAATTATATTTTCAAGAAGCATAAATATTGTTCCAGAGCAACTTTAGACACCATACTGCCATAAAACCATCTGTGAGCAAGGTAAAGGTCACAATAGGCAGGAAATATTCTTCCTTTGAAAGTTACAAGAAGAAATATTTGTTTACCACAGACATATATGCAATGTAAGCATGTTAAAATTATTACATTAAAAATGTTTAACTAATACAGTAAGTTACCATTTTAAATTTGACAACTCTAAAAAATACACTACTGTTCAAAGATCTGTACGATTTTTTTATGTTTTTGAAAGACGTCTATTTATTTGATCAAAAATACAGTAAATACTGTACATTTGTGAAATATTATTACAATTTAAAATAACTTTTCTATTTTAAAATGTGATTTATCCCTGTGATGGCGAAGTTTTTTTTAGCAACCAGTCTTCAGTGTTACATGATCCTTCCTTCCTTCCTTATTTATTATTAGTGTTGAAAACAGTTGTGCTGCTTAATACATGACACATTGTTTTCAGGATGAATAGAAAGGTCAAAAGAACAGCATTTATTTGAAACAAATTTTTTAGTAACATTGTAAAAATCTTTACAATCGTTTTAAATCGTCACTTTTGATCAACTTAATGCATCCTTGCTGAATGGAAGTGTTAATTTCTTCTTCTTCAAAAAAAATCTTACTGACCCAAAACTTTTGAGTAGTAGTGTGTGAATTATATAGAACTTCATGACATTTCTATCTCTTATTTCATTTTTTTTAATTAAAGCATTTTGTAATGTAGTAATGTTAATGTTCTTAATGAAAGTGAAGGGCTTGCTGAAGATATCAAGGCTTTTTTTTTTTTTACTGGGGGTCCTTGAGGGGCTGAGTGCAGGAGGTTGAAACCCCCTGCTCTTTGTAAAGAGTTTGACTGTGTAATTCCAGTACAGTGCGTGATGTAACAGATAAGTCACTTGTTGCCCTGTTTGATGACTAAATTCCCACCCGTATCGGCCAGCCTCCAGGACTACTGAAACACTCTGAACCCTTTTAACACAGCGCCAGGGGAATCGGCTAATGGGTCACACGCACATACAAAGAGGTATCCAAGACAGAGGCCTGAAGCCAACCAAAAACGAGTTGCGAATGCATGTGAGTGCGAATGACAGACAGGAGGGTTGTTTTGAGAGCGAGACCCCGCTGTGGCGCTCACACCCTGGAGTGACGCCTGTTCGAGACAGTTGCTAGGGAATGGAAACAGCTCTTTTCACGGTCTCATTTCCATTCTTCTGCTCTTAATATTTCTCACGGTATCTTATGCATTTTTTTTTTCATGCATATCGCTTTTTCTGTGACCACGTCGTTTTCTTTTTCTCAATCTTTTCCTTTCCCTCCCTCTCTCTCTCGCTTGCTTTTGGTCTCTTCACTGCATATTTTGATGCTCAGCCAATCAGCTGTCAGCACGGCCCCTGTAGGCGCAGTGCTAAGGGTTATTTTCTCAGGCTGCGAGTGTGTGTGTGTATGTGTGTGAACGGCTTTGATCTTCCATCTACGACAGGTCCACATTTCCCCTGTGCAGCATGCCGGCCTGCAGCAGGACCGGGGCTGCGGCGCGCTCACGAGGAAGCAACTTCATCAATGTTCTTTCCACAGTCTCTGCAGACCAAGAAACGCGCAGGCTCACTTTCAACAAGGATGCAAAAGCTCTTGCTGCACACTGGAAATTATACTACCTAAACAATCCCTTCTCCCACACACACACACACACAGGCAGGTGCGCGTCTTTTCGGAATCAATGCAGCGTTCAAGCTGTCAGAGGAGATTTGGGAAAGCTTGTAACCTGCATGACTTTAGGCAGTGACTCAACTCTGCACCGTCACCATAAATCCCGTTCCTCTGCATCACAAGCTTTTTACACCATTCAGGAATATAAAACAGAATGCAAAGTGAGAAAAGAGCCACACTGGAAAGTAAAGATGTTAATGTTGTCCCTCCTTTTTGGTATTCCCAGGCATGCTTTCTCTCTGTATGGGGTATACTGTCTCGAGATGGATAACCTGCCTCCTGTAGCGTCTATGTGTGCAGGCTTCTTACTACACTATCTGCCCGACCAATTTATGGATACTGGAATGCAGCCAGTACGTGGATTGAATATTAATTAGAGATGGAGGTTCTCTGAATTTGCAGATAGACCACCTGTTACTCACCACATATGGCTCCTGTGTTCAGGCAAAATGCTGATTTCTTGCTGAGGACTCACCTCCATATCACCAGTTCTTTGACTGTCTAGGTTTGGTGCACAGTGAATGCTTTGATCAGTAAAGTGTAGAGGAAATTCCGTTAGGGCCGTAGTCTAGCGGTTGAGCCGTGGTGCTCATGCGGGCAACACGAGTTTGATTCATCTTGGTGTCAATTCCCGAGCTCGTTCCACTCTTTTCTCCCTAACGTTTCATGGCCTCCTTCCAGTGGCGTTGCTGGTGCTTCTCCACGTCAAGTAAAAAAAGTGCAGCTTTATTTTCTAGGGGGCCTGGGGGTAGGGTTCAAAGAACCAAAGTGTTCAATTCTGGCGACTTCTGTAGCAGCAGTTTTACATTTTTTGTAACACTATTGTGTGGCATTAATGTAACTACGGGTTACAGATGATCACTAGTTCAGTTTCTTATTTGCATAATTCTAACCTACAAATATCTGTACCCTATCTGTGTCCCAGAAAACGGAAACTAAATAAATACTGTAGTTTACTTTTTAAATATTGGCAGAGTAGAACCGATCAATACTTCTACATTTATTCACAGCATGTTGAGTGACCTTTGGCTTCCTAAACTTCAATATAGGGCTACAACTCGTGATTATTATAATAATTAATTACTCATCTGATTATTTTTTGTTCGGTCACATAAAAAAAATCCTTTATTTTAATTAAAAAAGCATGTTATTCCACAAATGTATAAAAAACTAATATAACTATAAGTGGCTGCGCTGTATATAACGTGTTAAATATATACACTAGCCTTCAAAAGTTTGAGTTCAGAAAGATTTTTCTATGTTTTCACTAATCACTTAGGCTACATTTATTTGATCAAAAATGCAGTACAGCAAAATATTGTGAAATATTATTTTTTTTTTATTAAAGAGGACCTATTATGCAAATTTCACTTTTGTTGTTTGGACATAAATGTGTGTTGGCAGTGTGTGTACACAACCACCCTATAATGATAAAAATCCACCCACTCCTTTTTTTTTTATCCCCATAAATCATAAGCAGAGTCTCCCAACTACCTGTTTTCCGACTTGGTGCTAATGTGACGTCACATTAGCCACAGGCCCAGCCCACGAATGTTGACAGACACTGCCGTTTTAACATAGAACCGCCCTGA